GTACTATTTTCTGAAAAGAAATCGAATTACATCATATCTTTTGGCCCGCTTTCCAAAGATGACAAAGACTGTTACCTTCCCAGGTCAGACTAGCATATACGGTGGTTTTGTGGTTTGCCAGCAAAACCACCAGAGCCAACCTCCTATTTCTCTCAACTAAAGCCCCTCCCGTCTTTCTCTCGAGTCTCAACCCAGAAAAATGGCGAAACCCAGATGGGATTCTGCTCTCAAAGTCTTGATCATCCTCCTCAATCTCCATCTGGGCAGTGTTTTTTCAGCTCCTCCCGCCGACCCAATTGCCCAGCAGAACTTGGACAGAGTTGCCGAGCTGCCGGGGCAGAGCTTCAACCTCAGCTTTGCCCACTTTTCTGGGTACGTCCCTGTCAATGAAGATTCCGGGAGAGCTCTCTTCTACTGGTTTGTCGAGGCTGCCGAGGACCCTCACTCCAAGCCCGTTGTTCTCTGGCTTAATGGAGGTCCACCCTTCAATCTTTCTTTTTTTGCACCAAGCTCCAATTTTTTTTGCATAAAGCTTCATTTTTAAATTTTTTTGTGCATATAGCTTCTCGTTTTTCTTTGTGATTGTGCTGCTTTGACTTCTGTTTGCTGCTAAAATTTTGTATGTCCTTCCATTTTGTTTAATATTTGGAATACATTTCTGGGAAAAAAAATGTTTTCTGAGGTGCCCAAAAATCTTTTGAGCGTTCGGATGAACTTGTGAGGTAGAAAGTTGATTAATTTCCTATTCATTTGCTTGTGAGTAGTTTTTTCTTGAGTTTTTGTTGCCAATTTGCTTTTTCTTACTTGTTATAGAATTTTGTTTGAATGGTTTCTAACCTCCTTAGGACCTGGATGCTCATCCATTGCGTATGGTATGGCGGAAGAAATTGGCCCGTTTCATATCGAGGCAGACGGGAAGACCCTGTATTTGAACCCTTACTCTTGGAATCAAGGTGAGATGCTTTTCATAACTATGTTCAATTCGATGAGCTAAAATGTACCGCTACGAAAAGGTACCAGCTAGACCGCTAGAGGTTTTGGGTTGAATTATCTGTGAGGAATGTTACAAATTGTGTATTTATCAGTTACGTCTATGAATGATATGTATAGGTCAGGAGTAGGGTATATTTTCAGAATGATGAAACCATTTCTGATTGGTTCTTTACAGATACATTCTATGCAATTGCCTGATTCCTTTTACATTGTTTGCAGTTGCTAACGTTCTATTTTTCGACTCACCTGTTGGAGTTGGGTTTTCTTATTCGAACACTTCTTCTGATTTGCTATCCAATGGAGATAAAAGGACGGGTACCATCTCATGTCTAATTGCTATGCTTCAAGCGATTTATGTTGTTAGTTTATGCACGTTGGTTTATTAATTTCTGTTGTTTTGCAGCCAATGATTCTCTAACATTTCTATTGCAATGGTTTGAGCGCTTTCCCCAGTACAAGGGAAGAGACTTTTACATTACAGGAGAGAGCTATGGAGGTATATTGAACTTATGTTCTTCTTTATATTAATGTAATATAAATAATTCTTGTATTTTGGTGTATTATTTATGACTTGATTGGTTCCGTCTTGTGTACCAGGACATTATGTTCCTCAGCTGAGTCAAGCAATTGTAAAGTACAACTTCAAAACTAAGGAAAAAACAGTTAATCTGAAGGGTTATATGGTATATGGACTACATGCTTTTCTAAGGAAAACGTTTGGGATATTTTATGTTGTTTAAACACATCGAAATAACAAAGTATATTTGTTTTGCAGGTGGGAAATGCTCTAACCGATGATTACCATGATCACTTAGGCGTTTTCCAATTTATGTGGTCGGCTGGTTTGATTTCCGATCAAACTTACAAGTTGCTGAACCTTCTGTGTGACTTCCAGTCATTTATACACACCTCAAATTCATGTGATAATGCTCTTGACATTGCTAATGCGGAACTTGGAAACATTGACCCTTACAGCATCTACACTCCTTCATGCCCTGCTAATGTTAGCCAGTCAAATGGGCTGCGGAAACGAAGGAATGTGAGTGCACAATAAACTTCCTACTACACTGCATTCGAGTTCATCTCTTACTTTAAAGTTCTTAATGAATCAAGAATTTCCTTTCTTTCCAAAAAGAATATGCTTGCAAGATGTATTATCATACTGATGCCGAAATGTGATTCCATTTGATAGACAGTCGGCCACATCAGTCAGAAATATGATCCTTGCACCGAGGCACACTCAGTTGTATACTTCAATCTACCCGAGGTTCAAAAGGCACTTCACGTTGATCCAGGTCACGCACCATCTAAATGGGCAACATGCAGGTAATCAGTTGAAAAAAGTGCTTCATGCTTTTGATTGCATTAGAACTTTTGGTTTCTAATGAGCCAGTCCTGAAGAGCATTGATGGCTCAAGACTTCAGGAGCTTTGGCTAACCGTATTTGCGTCTACTAAATATGGACTTTGATTGAATAAATTGTAATGGTTAAGAAGGTGAAGAATACATTGAAGTTTTAGTCAACCACCATCTTTGCCTCCATCTGTGGCTGGTGGAGCAAAAGCTGCGTAAAAATGTCTTGCCTGCAACCGGGATATGTTATCCTAATTTGCATCTGGAATTTAAACAACGTATAAAATTTTGTTTTCCCCGCTTATATTAGGGTGGAAAGGTTTACATATTATGTAATCCCATATTTTGCTGTTTTGTAGTGATGTGGTAAGTATGACTTGGAAGGATTCTCCTAGGACAGTGCTGGACGTTTACAAGGAGCTGATACATTCAGGACTGCGTATATGGATGTTCAGGTCCCTCTCATCACCATGCTGATATAGATTCGATGCTTCTTTAAGTTTTGGGATTAGTTCCAAAAAATATAATTAACTTCACTCAATCCTTTTGTTTTTCATGGTCGTTATATAAACAGTATGGAATAATGTGTCGATTGTAAAGGAGGCATTTTCGGCTCATGGTTTGGGAATACCATTTTTGTATAGTTGACTTGGTGTTACTCATCCTACTTTTGCTGTTTTTCCATCTATGGCAGTGGTGATAATGACGCTGTAATCCCAATTACATCTACCCGATACAGTATAGATGCTCTTAAGCTTCCAACTGTCAAACCTTGGCGTGCATGGTACGATGATGGGCAGGTAAACAACCTCTGGGAACTATTCTCTCCCCATTAGGAACAGAATACTGAAACAGGATACAGATTAAAATTCTTGTTTCAAACATAGAACTATTGCTTTGAAACTACATATTACACCTAGAATAGTTTTTATCCTTTAAAAACAACATGATTTAATACGGTTACCCCTCGTTAATTAACAGGTTGGAGGATGGACACAAGAATATGCCGGGCTGACATTTGTGTCAGTGAGGGGAGCAGGCCATGAAGTTCCTCTGCACAAACCCAAGCAAGCTCTCACACTCATCAAATCCTTCTTGTCAGGATCTTCAATGCCAGCGTCCGAACAACTTATCATGCCAGCATCCGAACAACTTATCAGCGACTCTTGAAGGTTTCATTTCGCACTCGGTGCTGAATGAGGAGGAAAAATTCCATCTGCTGTATTGCTTGGTTACTCATGTCTCCTTTCGAGACGACGTTGTTGTAAACTAAAAAACAGACGGGAAAAAACTGGTGTGACCGTCAACGTAGAAGTTGGAACAGGCTGTGCCTTTCAATAATCGTAGTGCAAACTGCAATGCAAACTTGCCCTTTGTATCCTTAAGATTGTGACCCCCCGATCCCTTTCTTTTTTCTAGTAGCCTTGTTAAAATATTTTAATTTGGCATTGGCTAAGAGGATGCCTTTCGAATTTGAATCTTCATTTCGGTAGTTTAGATTTTAGAAAATCGCTTAAAAAATTTATTTTAATTTGATGTTGGTTGGATGCACAAGTGTCATTTTACATATGGTTAAATGTTCTATTGGATAGGGTGTTAGGTTTATGGTATTCATGCATTTGGGTTCGAAACTTCCTATTCTCCAAATTAGTGTAACAGCTTTGTGATCTTTGTCTCGATAAATTTTTGGTGTGTTGGTAACACGGTCTTGGTACACCAAGTATTGTAATATGGGGTGTGCCATTTTACTTCTTACACCCTTTTAATTTTTGGCCGTCAGATCGGATGAATTGAAGAAGATCAACGGACAGAAATTAACAAGGGTGTTTGAGAAGTAATTTGGGGTGTGTGGATAGCACACCCCTTGCAATATAAGTGATTAAATCATTGGAAGAAAAAAAAATTAACCGCTTACATTACACGATTTATATCCGGTACACTAAAACATTTCTCCTTTCCATTTCCTTCAATTCCATTCTCATCTCAATGATGTTATTAATCGCTTATATTACGACACTCAATATAATGATTTATATCCGACACATTGAAAAATTTCTCCAACCCCTCCCCTTTGGTTCAGTTATCATCTCACAATGCTGTTTAATGTTCATAAGCGTTCATCTTGTTGTAAATATGGTGGATGTCCACGCTGGCCACTAATCCACTAAGCTACAAGTGAGAATAGAGGTTGTCTTTTGCTGTCCGCCAAAGCTTACTCCCTACGACTCATGTTTTCTATATAAATGCAACACACACCAAACATAGGTGAGAGACTCATGGAAGAGGAAGAGAGAAAAGAGAGGAAGAGGAGATGAGATAATAGAGAGTTATCTTTGTATTCTTATTATTTCAGATTATAATGAAAGCATCATTGTTGTCCCAAGGATGTACTCTAGTCACACTGACTGTAGAGGAACTTCGTAAATTTTGTGTCTTGTTTATTTATTCCACTGTACACACCGTCGATTTTATAACACATCCGTAAGGTCATTTTTTAAAGATCAATTTTGTTAGATGACAAACGACTTTAAGCAGATAATGTGGCTTCTACCCATAAATTACCAAAAAGGTAAGGGACTGATTGGCAAATAGCTTCAGAACAAGTTAGCTTGTCACGTGCGGGGCCTTATCACGTGTAAGTAAATATCAAACGAGCACAACAACCGAACGAACCACACACAGAGCGGAAGAAGAAGATGATGCCCAGATGCTCTGTTCAATCGACCGACGCTCAGCTTTTCCAGAGCTTAAATGGCCTCCAACAGCTTGCCGAAACGCACCGTTTCAAGGTTCGCTTTGCCTGAAATCTCTCCTCTCCTAGCTTAATCCAAGTTTTATGCATAATTAAGCACAACAACAACAACAAAAAAGGCTTTTTCCGTTAAGTGGAGTCGGCTATATTGCGTTCGGTTTTGTTTGATACATATGGATGATTGAACGGTCTCTGAATCGAGTGGTCTCTGGATCAAATAACTTTTTTCTAGAGATTGATCTTTAGACGACGATGAGGGGAATGAACAGTTTGTATGATAAAACTATGCCGTGTCACCATTGGAGGAGGAGTGTTTTCTTACATGTAAGCAAATTAGCAAAGCAATTCCAATAGTGAAAGGTTCTAGTTTTGATGGAAAGATTTATTAGAAGTTGTATTTGTGCGTATTTTCGTTGATTTAGTGAGCTTGAAGTGATTTCATAAGCTGGTCCAAAACTTCAACTTAAATGTAAATTATGCGTTTGGTGATGTGCGTGCAGGCCTGGTTCTTGGATCAGTTTGGAGTTCTCCATGATGGGAAGCAACCTTACCCTGGTGCAATTTCAACATGTATGTTTTCGTCTGTTTGTTTTGGCATTTGGGTAAGCTTCTGTTTTAGTTGGTAGTGCAACAAGCCGTTCTAGTCTCGATTAAGCGATGAGGCAGCGGTGATTTGTTTGAACTTGTTCTTGTTTAATAGTGAAGAAGCTAGCAAGCAGTGGTGCAAAGATGGTTATTATAAGTAATTCATCAAGACGCTCGTCTACAACCATGGATAAATTGAAAAGCCTCGGGTTCGATCCTTCTCTTTTTGTAGGAGCCATCACTAGCGGAGAACTGACACATCAAAGCTTACAAAGGTTGACCACCAAACCATGTATTCTTTGAACAATATCAATGCTATATGAGGACTGGCGTGTAGGGTTCCAACAATATGATAACATTATGGCTGATTTGCATTGGTATTACAACAAACTGTTTAATTTCTGCAACCATCCACATTGTAACTTCTCCTGTATGTTGTCATGTAAAAGGAGAGATGATGCTTGGTTCGCTGCACTGGGAAAATCTTGTATTCATATGACTTGGAGTGCTCGTGGTACCATATCTCTTGAGGTACAGCCATTGTTAACTCTGGAGGCCATTTTTCTCCCTTCCTCTAGTGTATTACGCTTTCTTGAAGGAGCCTCTGGGGGCTCTCTTTCTCCCCCACCTCCTTCAGGCGTCCGTTAAGTAACTATTTGAATTTTATGGCATAGTGGCTTTACTTTTCAGTAAGACAGGAATCTCATCATTTACTGTCACTGGTTTTAAGAAAAATATCATTTACAGGCCAATATGATTTGTAAAAGATTCAAGATTGATTTTTTTTTCTTTCCGATAATCCACACGCATTAAAATTTCCCCAGATTTGCTTTACAGAAAAATCTAGCTATGGAAATCATGAAATTGAAAACCTAGTCATTGATCTTACTATTACTTTATCAATCTCTTGTAGGGCCTGGGACTACAAGTTGTGGAGAAAGTTCAAGACGCCGAATTTATTTTGGCCCATGGCTCTGAAGCCTTGGGGAGTCCTTCTGGTGATGCGATTCCAATGAAACTTGAGGAACTTGAAAGTATATTGGAACAATGTGCTGCTAAACACATCCCTATGGTGGTAGCAAATCCAGATTTTGTGACTGTTGAGGCTAGAGCTTTGCGTGTAATGCCTGGTAATACTATTTATTTGGCTGAATACAATACCCATATATATGATGGATATTTTTAGCAGTGTTGATTGTTTGCTTATATGTGCCTCATGAATTTTCTATTAGGGACTTTGGCTTCCAAGTATGAAAAGCTTGGGGGTGAAGTGAAATGTATGGGCAAGCCTGATAAGGTAATTTAACGACATTGTTCTGGTTACCATTGATAATGACTTTTACCTTAATATATATTGCTTTTGCACTCTACGGTCATTCTTTCTCTTGGTTGCGTCCAAGCACGTAAATGCGGTCAAGTTATTGAGCTTGCGATCTGACCCTCGTATGAGTTTTACATATTTGGTGCTCCCTAACATAAATCTTTTGCTCCGCTCTTGTGCAACTTCTTTAATTGTTTGACTGTCGAATAGTTAGCGAAGTTTTAGATTTGTGACTTTTTATTCAGTAAAGCGACTTGAAATGCTTTTTAATGCTACCCGCATTCTTCTCACATTGTTCCTTGATTTGGCAAATGGATATGTAAACCTTATCTCAAATACGATATTGTGAATTGTTTCCCAGTTATTTCGTTTCATAGATTTCTCTCGTTCTCTTTGCTTTCCTTTCTGACAAGCATAATTATACGTTTTTACACAGATCATCTACAAATCAGCTATGGACTTAGCTGGTGTAGATCCTGCTGAATCTATCGCAGTTGGCGATTCTCTTCACCACGACATCAAGGGTGCAAATGCAGCTGCAATCCAATCAGTTTTTGTCACCTGTGGGATCCATGGAAATGAACTTGGACTCAATAGCTTCGCGGACGTTGCAGATTTATCTTCTGTGCAAGCTCTTGCTTCCAAATACGATGCGTACCCGTCATACGTGTTACCTTCATTCACATGGTAGAACTAGAATCCCATTGTAAACATTGATTAATACTAGTTTCCTATCACATTTACAAATTTTTTACAGATGGATCATCTGTACTTGCGTTTATCGATGTTTGAGACCTTGAACCATTTGAGTTTTTGACCTGTTTTGGATGAGTGAAGATCAAGGATTTAGTTCATGAACTGATTTTTACAAGAAAGTAGCTAGTTATTTGACGTGAAGTAAATCTTTTCGATAACTTGTTTTTACTAATTCGGACGTTAATGCATACACCTTGTGTTGGTGCTGCCATATTTGTAGACAGACGTATCAAGGATGTTAATTGGGGTGGGCTTGGTTAAAATCGGTTCGGGTTTTTTTTGTCGAAACTGAAAACCAAACCAAAGTTTATGTGCGGTTTATGTTAATGTTGGTGTACAAAGTTTGCTCAAAGTTTTAGGAATGTAAGTACGAGTTTCAGGAATCAAATCAACGAATAAAAACACTACACAGATTGGAAGGAATAGGAATAAAAAGCTTTATTTATTTATTTATTTATTTTTGTCAGATGGTAGATTTATTAGATTGAATGTTAAATTAGGAAACTAACGGGTTTGAATTTACGTCGTAGTGTAAGAACAACACTCTTCTCCATCATGGTGGTAAAGGGCCACTTGCGAATAAAAAGCTTTTTTACCTTTCCAAATCTTGGCCAGTTTAATGATAAATTGGAGGAGGTTAATTTATTTGTCAGTTCACCTTTTTAATAACTAGATAGAATCAGAGAATTTCAGTATTCTCTAACTACTATTGTTTGATTCACAAGCACAAAGAGTCGAATGTAAAACATGTTGTGTGGAATACAAATATGAAATTCGTACCTAATCAGGTGTTCAAATTATTCTCGAGTGGTCTCATTCTCATTAAAAAAAAAAAAAACTAACGAAAAGTCTAAAAAAAATTTAGTTTTAATGAAAAATGATATATGAATGTGTAGTGAATAGTACTAAGAAAATATAAAAATGTGACTGTTCGTTAAAAATGAACAGTACTGAAAGAGTTTCGTTAAAACCTTTTAAAAAAAATAATTACAATCACAAGCGTTTGATTTTAGGGATCTTTTGATATAGGTCCAATTGAACTAAAAATTGGACATATTTCAAAAAATAGGCTATAAAATTGGACATCTTTCAAAATTTTCCTTGATTTTTAATATAAAAGTCGGCGGTCGACTTGTGTTTGTTGTATTTTCTTCTTTACTGTTGAATTTTTTTATTTTTTATTTTTTTGGTTAAACCCAGCAGTTTATGACCGTAATCAATTCCCTTGAATTGTAAGATCAGAATTTCCTAGGAACGGTAAGATCTATTTCTATAGGCCGTCAGATTGATCTGACGGTAAATATAATAACTAAAATAATATGAGCGTAAAAGTTTCTCATTCTTTCACAATCTTCCCTTCCCGTTTGGCCACCACGCCCACCACCGAACCAACCTCCCCCTCCAAGGCTGCACCCACTCGTCGCACCCCGCAGACTGGTTTTCTGTCACCAGATGGTTCGTCGGACTTGAGTTTCATCTCCCTCTCTCCTCATCTCAATCGCCCACTCTCCATCTCCCAGGTATGCAACTTCTGCAACGTCTCTCTCTCTCTCTAAATTATCAATTTTGTGCAACCCATGGCCGACCCAGGTTGTGATCAAGCTCGATTGGTTACTGGGTCGGACCAACATGGTCGCTAAGCCTAACCCATCTTCTAATTTTTGCCAAATTCAATACCTTTACCTTGATTTAGCAAACACCAGACTTTTTGTTATGCTAATTACATGTTCTATAATTCTCATCATATAAGAATAATGAGATGCTTCACATCGATATCAAAGAGCCTGAGTAGTAAGAAATTCGTTTTCTTTTCTCTTATTGTTGGGTGAAACTTAAAAAGATGGGAATTTCTGTTTAGGCAGTGAGAGTTCATGTGGTGATGTGGATACTACTCCTGATTCTAAAATATCGAACGAATTTGGTACGTGACGAAATTTTTGACAAGTATTGTGTTAAAGACTATGCCATGATTCTGAGGTATTACTAAGCAGGGACCGAGAGTTTCTTAGGCATATGGACTTTGGTCATTTATTGGATCATAGTTTGGCATTTGATAATTTATCTTTATATTACAGCTTCTCAGTTAAAACGGTATTCGACTGAGGATTTGGAATCCAATTTCTTTATGAGTGGTGCAAAGTGGTTGTGCTTCATGTTGTGGTAACCTCGGGCGTGTAATTGACTTGATCTTGAGGGTTCAATATTTAAGAGCCATTTGATTTGAAAAGGGCATCACATAGAGGCCTTAGTAAACATTTTCACGAACTTGTTCAAGTACATAAATATACACTCATCTTGTTGTAGCTAAAACAGAATGGAATTTAAGATCTCATTGATTTTGCAGGAGCAAAAGGTGAAAAGAAGGCTGAAGGAGCAATAAAATGGTGGTTACCAATTCTAATTCCCAGAACAGGGAGATTGTGGTCAGGAAGAGGATTGCAAGCATGTAACTCTCTCTCTCTCTCTCTCCCTCTCCCCCTTCCTCCCTCTGTGTGTGTGTGTGTGTGTGTGTGTGTGTGTGTTTGTGCACACATTCAAATTTTGGTTGTTACCTTGGAAGTCATAGAAAATAAATAGTTGAAATTTGAAGTTAGTGTTATGTTAAGAAGTGCTTCAAGGTTAAGTAGGAATCCTGGACTTATTAAGTAACTCAAACACTTCTTCAAGGAGAAAAATCTGTAATGCGGCTGTATATTTTGTATGAATGAGTAAAACTTATGGGACTGAACTGAATTTAAAAGGCATTCAAGCTTATGGATTTTGATATTATGGAATCTTTTGATGTATTAAGTATTGGAACTGATTGATGCACTGTAGTATTTGCTATTAGCCAGTACATGCTTAACAATTCTATTATGCATCTTTGACGGAGATGATTCACTGTGTAGATTCAATAAACGAGAAGAGGATTTTTCTTCCTTGAGAGAATACAATGATTACTTGGAGGAAGTGGAGGACATGAGTAAGTTTTTCAGCTTAACTGTAGCTTATACAGTTATATCGTGATGAAAAGTTAGTCTGACAAAGGGAAAAATCATTTTGTAGCATTTGACTTGATCGAAGGAATAGATGTTCCTGCTATTGAAGCGAAAATTGCCAAGTACCAGGAAGAAAATGCCGAACAAATAATGATTAACAGAGCTCGTAAGGTATTTCAAAATAAGATCACCATGTTTTGATCCCTTTCCTTTTTTGTTCCTAACCTTCTGATTTTGTATAATGGAAAAAGAGGAAAACAGGATGCAGGCAAAGTGGCAATATTGAACTCTTAAATATTTTCTGCTAAGTTTATGCCATGGTTCTAATGCTGGTGTTTTCGATCGAATAGGCTGAAGAGCTTGCTGCAGCTCTCGCAGCAAGCAAGGGACATCCCATACAAAATGAAACTGATGCGGTAAGAGTGGGATTGTTACGTGTATGCATTCTCTTTTGTTTTCTTTATATGACCTTGCACATTTTAAATGTTGAAACCCTTCAAAGAGATTTTGTTAACTGATATGATGCGTCTAATGATAGGGTCTGAGCCAAGGCTCACAAGCAGGATTTGGTGCTGGTACACAGGGCCAGTATGCTCCTACAGTTTCAGGGCAACCACGTCCAACCGGCGGCATGGGTCCACAACCACTACCACTTGGAGGAGGGGGGCATGATCTGCACGGATACGCTGTTGACGATGAAGAAATGGTGAAGCTGCGAGCAGAGAAGGGTGGTCGGGCAGGAGGGTGGAGTGGAGAGATAAGCAGGAAGAGGGCACTTGAAGAAGCCCTTGGTAGCATTTGGATTTGTTAGGATCATAATTTTTCTCCCGAGTCTGTAATTGTAAGAGCAGAAACATGCCTTCTCTTTATGGAAAAAAGAGAAGGCAGAATTATGTACGAGTGCAAATTATTTATCAGAAATATGCCTTCTTTTTATGCAACATCCGTCCTCTTACATTTAAATTTGAATTTTTTTGTTGGTATCATTCGCCGGACGGGTAAGATGGTACTAGTGTACTCTTGCTCGACTTACCTGTACTGGACGGGTTCAGTATCAACTTATTATAGCTAGTTTGTTGTGGTTTAAGTTATTTTTTATAAGATTTTTTAGCCAAAATGGTCTCTGAGATTTGCGTATGTCTTCATTTTGATTCCTGAGATTTGAAATCAATAGAAGTGGTTTCCTAGATTCTCCACCATTAATCATTTTAATCATTTCGTGAAAAATTATGTTAAATAAGGATCAAAATGACAAAAATACATTCAATTTAAAACAACATGTCAAAATGATTTGACAAAAAATTGAGGGTATTTTCGTCGTTTTATTCTTATTTAATGAAGATTTTTCATGGAATGATTAAAATGAGTGATGATGGACAATGTCAGTGATCACTTCTATTGATTTCAAATCTCAGAGATCAAAGTGAGAAGTTATTCAAATCTCAAAAACAATTTTAGCTAAAAAAAACCTTTTTATAATCAAGGTAAATACATCGATGTATTAAAAAAAGTTGGGGGAGAAAAATAAAAATAAAAATAGGTCCATGCAAGTGCAATAACCAATAAGAACAGGGGCAGTACCGTTATAAAAATAAAATAAAATAAAGGCATAAAATCCTGAAAGGCGCTAACTTTCCTCCACAGCTTCAAACTCCGTTATCTCCAACTCCCAAATTCAAAGTTGTGTTCATCTGAAATTACGCTTTTATTTTGCAGATTCCAGAACAAGCTGATGATAAAGTTGTGTTCTTTTCCCCCTATTTGTTTCCGGTGAGTAATTCATGTATTGAATCGGCTTATATATATATGATGACCTCACTGAGATTTTCAATCTCTTTGGACACGTTTGATTCTTCAAACAAGTTCAATTCTTCTTTTTGCTACGGTCATGCATATGTTAGCAGAGCTTGTGTAGTTAATGCTCTGAATTGGGGAAATCGGATTAAGGTTTCTGGGTTCCCATTCGAATTGTCGGGCACTTCGGAACTGAGTCAGATGGGTGAGGAAACCAATTTGAGCTTGGTTGAGGGAAACCCGGATTTTCGACACGAAAGTGAGAAGGGCTCTGGGGGGCCAAAGAAAGAGAGTAGGAGAGAAAAGGATTCGAAGTTAAGTTCAAGAAAGAGTAGGTGGGTGAGGGAATTGGAGAATTTGTTTGTGAATGGTGGTGAATTTGATGTTGATTATTCTGTTATTAGCTCTCACTTGAGCATGGAGCATTGTAACGATATTTTGAGACGGCTAGAGAGGTGTAATGATGTCAAAGCTCTTAGATTCTTCGAGTGGATGAGAAGCAACGGGAAATTAGAGCGCAATGTGAGCGCTTTTAATTCAGTTTTAAGAGTGATGGGTAGGAGAGAAGATTGGGATGCAGCTGAAAAATTGGTTCAGGAATTGCTTGCTGGTTTGGGAGGTGAGCTGAATTATCAGGTTTTCAACACCCTTATTTATGCGTGTTGTAAGTTGGGGCGCGCTGAGTTGGGAGCCAAGTGGTTTCGAATGATGCTGGATCACAGGATCCAGCCGAACATTGCAACTTTTGGTATGCTAATGGGACTTTACCAGAAGGGTTGGAATGTTGAGGAGGCGGAGTTTACTTTCTCTCAAATGAGGAACTGTGGAATTGTATGTCAATCAGCGTACTCTGCGATGATCACAATTTACACCCGCTTGAACTTGTATGACAAAGCGGAAGAGGTCATTGGCTTGATGAGAGAAGATAGAGTGAGATTGAATTTGGATAATTGGTTGGTAATGATTAATGCCTATTGTCAGCAGGGTAAAGTAGACGATGCTGAAGTAGTACTGGTCTCCATGCAAGAAGCGGGGTTTTCTCCAAACATTATTGCATACAATACTTTGATAACTGGATATGGGAAGGCGTCTAAAATGGATGCTGCTCATCACCTATTTCTGGGCATAAAGAACGCTGGATTAGAGCCTGATGAAACAACTTACCGTTCTATGATTGAAGGTTGGGGTCGAGCTGACAAGTATAAGGAAGCAGAATGGTACTACAAAGAGCTCAAGCGGTTGGGGTACAAGCCTAATTCGTCTAACCTGTACACACTAGTAAACTTGCAAGCCAAGCATGAGGATGAAGAGGGGGCCATCAGGACTCTTGACGATATGCTGACAATGGGGTGCCAATATTCCTCGATTCTTGGTACTCTTCTGCAAGCATACGAGAAGGTAGGAAGGGTAGATAAAGTGCCTCGCCTTTTGAGAGGTTCTTTCTATCAACATATTCTTGTCAGCCAGACTTCTTGTTCCATTCTTGTCATGGCTTATGTGAAACACTGCTTGGTGGATGATACTATGAAAGTGTTGAGGGAGAAACTGTGGAAGGACCCGCCTTTTGAAGATAACTTGTATCATTTGTTAATTTGCTCGTGTAAAGAGTTGGGTCGTCTTGAAGATGCTGTTAAAATATACAAGCAAATGCTGAGACATTTTAACAAGCCAAACATGCACATCATGTGCACAATGATTGACATCTATAGCATCATGGGCCTATTCACAGAAGCGGAAAAAACTTACGTGGAGTTAAAATCTTCTGGAATCGTATTGGACCTGATTGCCTATAGCATTGCTGTGAGAATGTATGTAAAAGCTGGTTCTCTGGAAGATGCTTGCTCTGTTCTAGAGGCAATGGAAGAACAGGAGGGAATTGTTCCAGACATTTACATGTTCCGTGATATGCTCCGGATTTATCAACGATGTGGCAGGCTTGATAAGTTGAAAGACCTGTACTATAAACTCTTGAAGAGTGGAGTGACTTGGGATCGGGAAATGTACAACTGTGTCATAAACTGCTGTTCTCATGCTTTGCCAGTCGATGAGATCTCAGAGATCTTTGATGAGATGCTTCAATGTGGTTTTGTTCCTAATACCATAACCTTCAATGTCATGCTCGATGTATACGGGAAAGCAAGGCTTCTGAAGAAAGCTAGGGAGTTGTTCAGGATGGCCCAAAAGTGGGGTTTGGTTGACATGATCTCTTACAATACTATTATAGCTGCTTACGGGCGAAATAAAGATTTCAGAAGCATGTCTTCAACATTTCAAGAGATGCAGTTCAAGGGCTTTTCAGTTTCCCTGGAAGCCTACAATTCCATGTTGGATGCTTATGGGAAGGAAAGCCAAATGGAAAGATTTAGAAGCGTTTTGCAGAGAATGAAGAAAACAAGCTGTGCTTCTGACCATTACACGTACAACATTATGATCAATGTCTATGGAGAGCAAGGATGGATTGATGAAGTTGCTGGTGTGCTGACTGAGTTGAAAGAATGCGAACTTGGACCTGATCTGTGCAGCTATAACACGTTGATTAAGGCATACGGAATTGCAGGAATGGTCGAAGATGCTGTCCACTTGGTCAAGGAAATGAGAGAAAATGGTATAGAGCCTGATAAGATAACCTATGTCAATCTTATCGCTGCGCTGCAAAGAAACGATGAATATTTGGAGGCTGTAAAATGGTCCCTGTGGATGAAGCAGATGGGGTTGTAAAGTTCACAATGCTGATGTATATAATCTACGGCGTTTTTTGAGCCTCTCAACACCTGATTAAGATCTTGCTCATAAATAAATAAAATCTGCTTTCGTTGATTCGATATATGTCTTCAGCACTTACATGTAGTGTGGTTTTAAGGGGTAGCAAATCTTTCATTTTGTCTCCTTAGGGTTCTGGCCGAAACTCAAATGTGACGTGAATGGTCCTCTCTCGGAGGTCTGCTCTGTGTATGCAGAACAATTTTTGCATAACAACAGTCAAGTATAGCTACCACCGGAGCTGGAGAAACTTAATGCTTGTACTGAGAGTAAATTCAAGGTGATGCACAAAATTCGACTCCAAACACGAGCGATAATTTTACATCTGAACAGAACTATTGATAAATTTCCTTCATTTCTTTACAGTTCTTGCTCACAAATTTGCGAGTTTCCATTGACCAAGTGTTACATGTATCTTGTATGTTTAAAGAATGATCTTTTCTCCTCCTACTCTCATACAATACAACATATGTTATACGTCGGAATACATTGAAAAGAATGACCTCCGCTAAGTTAGCTGCCGCTTCGTATCTACTTCTCTTGCCTCAAAAAAATATTCTACGCTCTAGAAATTTTATAGACCTTGCGTAAAGCGGGAGCCTTGTGCACTGGGTACGACCTTTTTAGAAATTTTATAGACCTTGAATTTCTGCAGAAGAGTCTCCCTTTCTGTACATGGGTCAGCTCCGACATGGACCGGATCTTTAACAGCGAAGATTGATCAATTCAATACCCATGAGAATCGTAGACTCACTGATCATGGGAAATCAAAGTTTGTCCTTTCGGCTTTCACAAAAGCAACCTTAGGTTTCTGTTTCACACTAAACGTTTAAGTGCTTACCCGAATGAATTCTTGAAATAGCTTCTCGGTCATTCCGGGAGTGGCATATGATACGTGTGGCAATGCTGTTTAAACATCGTTATCAATGCTTGCTGCTCATGTACCGAGTTTCAGTTGAAAAAGTACGGAGATTCTAGAACCTCTTGCAAGTCGAAGTCGCCTCTTTCTGGGAGAGGAGGAAATGTCAACGCTGGATATGATACTTGGGAGCTTTCTAGTAACTGGGAACAGGCCGAGTTATCATGAAGTCAATAGAAATAAACAACGAATTCAACTCAGGATGGGCTGCTGAGAGGAAAGTTTCTACTTACATTTTCAAGTATCGGCATGCTATACAGCTCTACAATTTGTTTCCGAAGTATCTCGTTCATTTGGTCTACGTCACATACATGAGTCCAGAAGGAGTCATGCACCCCTACAAACATTTTTTAACATGCAAGTGAGAATTTGAACATATTTTAGCGTGTAAGTGAGAACTAAACCATGTGTGAACCTGCAAAACATAGGCCAGCATCCCTGCAGGCAAGAGCGGTCATCATCATGTGTGAACCGTCAAGTGAGTGAACAAATTTTGGAGGACATGCAGTCCTTTGTTTTCTACCGTCTATCTGGAATCGCCAAAATGTTAACTCTACAATAATTTATGAAAGAGTAAGGAAAGAGAACATTAAGTAAGCTTACTGAGTTACTCTCCCGCTGCAAGGCTAAAACCTGAAGGGATGTTCTTATCTGCAACCCCAAGGAGAGAAAAGTTACTAAATTATCACTACAACATTAAAACTATGTAAGTGACATCTGCCCCTTTTAATCCAGGATGTCGGACAAAAAAAGAAAAGATGTCGGACTTCAGGAAGGGCAGAAAACCTACTCTATAAAGTCTAAGGTACCGTAACAGACAGCCAAAACTAGAGACAAGGAAGAACAGAATATGGAACGAAGAAATGATACATGAACACAATTGTAGATGCAATCATGCAACCTATCTTGATATTCTGTACTAAACAATTACTGAGACGGAATTTTTCCAAATACTGGTTTGCCTGTTGATGTAAAATTAGTATTTAACTAAGCTGTCAAACTTACAAGATGTCGTTCATTTTTACAGTAGGGTTGCACAACAGGAAGACCTAGAGGAGTAGTCCAACGCACAGGTTGATTTTCTGAAGCAATTACCTGCAAAAGTTTGTAAACACAACTTAATTTATCTACCAGGCCTATCATTTAGTGTCCAGAACATGACCAAGAAAAAAAAATCACCACACCTTGGCACAATCACTGAGCCAGGCCATTATACCACGAGCAGCTTGGAATGTCTCTCCAAGGGCAGCCAAAGTAACCTATGGAAAAGATGAAAACTTAGAAAGTACGATCTAGATGAAACAGTTGATTTTTTCTTTATAAGAATAACATGAGGTAATCATCTAAAAATCTAGCAAACATATTAAATTGGTTAACCAGGCATTGCATTTGCATGTTAATTTTCAATTATTATCCAAATGATGAAATTCAAGAAACGTCTGTGGGTAAATCTTGATCAAGAAATATTTGGTCGCAGGAACACTACGGTTGGTATTTGCTTACTTTGGCAGCATAGCAAGCTACAGTGAACAGTAGTCTATCATCCGTAACAAGACACTTCTCCTCTAATCTTCTTTTTATTTGTTTGCGTGCCCCAACATAAGTAACTCCATACACTGAAGTCATGACAGTCTGTTTTACCAATTCCGATCAATCTGAAAGCTTCCAAAACCATAGATTGTTAATTTCATAAATATGCACAGACTTTTTTAAATACTTACATAACTAAAGAAATCCACATTAAATAAATAGAAAAACTCATTTAGACGGTATATTGCAACTTTGAACTCGAGAAGAAGCAAGGGAGATCAACCTGATTAACTAAGACTTGGGCTAACAAAGCATTTGGGCTTGTAGTCGGGTGCTTATTGCTGTCTCTTTTCATAATCTCATGTACCCTGGCAACATATAGATATAGAAGATGAGCATTGGTCTTGTTACCTATTCATCTAATATTTCTTCACCTCGTGGCACTGTTCTCTTGTACTTTTATGCTTGTGGCACATCTCAAGGGTAGCAAAACCTATGGAGTAAAATATGGAAAATTTAATACCTTACAGCAATTTCTGAGTAAACATTGGCAGGTTTCTCTCCAGCACCTAAGTTGACTGCAGCTGCTTCCAACTGAGAACATCACAGCAATTCAGATCAATCAACAAAGCAAAACTTTTACATAAAAAAAAAAAAAAAGGTCCTATATTATATTATAACAGAACATTGAATATTTTGACCGAAGAAAAAATAGAAAATGAGGAAAATTTGAGAACATCACATGTATACAATCATGTTTGCCAGATGACTAAAGTTCATTTACTACAAAATTTACAAAAGTAGTTTAAATAAGCAAAACACATAATGGAGTACAATAAAATTAGAGTGCAGTAACATGAAGATGCAAACAGAAAACTTATATCAATGGGGATAAAGCCTACACTATCTCTTCCCAAGGCTGCATGGTGCTGTAAGCCATTGCATGAACCATCCTAGAAAATTGAAAGGTCATCAATGAAACATAAATGGATTTAAAAAAAAAAAAAAAAAAAACTTTATCATTTGACCCGCACAAATACGTTTAAAAATTCTTCTCATTTGCATCAACTTTTAAAATAAAGGGGTTTCAGAATTATATAATCCTAAACAAACTTGCATAAACTGCAGTATCTCGTTTTGCTACTCCAAGGAGTACGGACTAAGAAAGAAATTTACCAGATGGATGGGCAAATGAGAAATGACCGTATGTGGTGATGGGCTATTTAACGCTTCTGACAGATTGATACAAGACGCTAGGCACTGTAAAGGATCTTCAGCTGTTAACCACCATCGGTTTCCATTTACAGGGTTTGCTGCTGAATCAAATATATCATCAATGTGATGATCAACAAATGCTTTGCAGTCCTCATACGAAAGCTTTTCAACACCGCCTGCATGGAGGTTTGCTAAATGAATCTTCAGCCAACAAAAACCAGACTTCCCTAATGGTCGTCCTTCAGCAAATTCAAGGACCCCTCGACAGAGATCAGAACTCAAATGATTTAAATGTGGATGCATTGGGTAAGCTCGGCCTCGAAAATCAAGATTGTGAGGATAATAAAAGCCTTCCATCCTTTATCTTGCGAGCAACCTATTTCAGAATTGTTTGCTCAATATTATATGATTTCTTATCAATAAATAAATACTATATAATTAGATGGAGACCTTACAGAGAGCTTAAGTTCTGTATCACATCGCTGAGAATGCCTTTCTTGGTTAATCTTCTTTGCTTTTCTTACACTCCATTTCCATTTGGGAACTTCTGTTAAACCCGCAAGCGGTGGTTTATCTGGTACTGGAACCTACAAGCCCATGAGAATATTTACGCCAGATGAAATTTAAAGCAAAATCTAAACATCACAATGTCAGCAAACCAAAAATATTTTGCTGTAACGAAAATCAACCAACAAAACCAAGTAAACTCTCCTGACAAGGGAAATGACTACATTATCCTTACTCTAGTTTCTCTGACTACATTATTCTTACATTAATTTGTTGTTTGACAGAAAGTTAGAAATCATCCAATTATGTTACTCTTAAATTTTCACAAAAGAGAAACGAGAGCTATCCCACATAGGGATGTTGGCACCCTATAGGTGCTCATCAACAACAACAACAACAACAACAAAGCCTTTTCCCACTAAGTGGGGTCGGCTATATGAATCCTAGAACGCCATTGCGCTCGGTTTTGTGTCATGCCCTCCGTTAGATCCAAGTACTCTAAGTCTTTTCTTAGAGTCTCTTCCAAAGTTTTCCTAGGTCTTCCTCTACCCCTTCGGCCCTGAACCTGTCCCGTAGTCACATCTTCGAACCGGAGCGTCAGTCGGCCTTCTTTGCACATGTCCAAATCACCAGAGCCGATTTTCTCTCATCTTTCCTACAATTTCGGCTACTCCTACTTTACCTCGGATATCCTCATTCCCAATCTTATCCTTTCTCGTGTGCCCACACATCCCACGAAGCATCCTCATCTCCGCTACACCCATTTTGTGTACGTGTTGATGCTTCACCACCCAACATTCTCTGCCATACAACATCGCTGGCCTTATTGCCGTCCTATAAAATTTTTCCTTGAGCTTCAGTGGCCTACGACGGTCACACAACACGCCGGATGCACTCTTTCCATCCAGCTCGTATTCTATGGTTGAGATCTCCATCTAATTCTCCGTTCTCTTGCAAGATAGATCCTAGGTAACGAAAACGGTCGCTTTTTTTGTGATCTTCGCTAGATTGCTCCGGTCATTAGTGTGGATAAGTATATAAATGGATAGAGATAGGAAAGCAAACACAAGATGTACGTGGTTCACCCAGATTGGCTACGTCCACGGAATAGAAGAGTTCTCATTAATTGTGAAGGGGTTTACACAAGTACATAGGTTCAAGCTCTCCTTTAGTGAGTACGAGTGAATGATTTAGTACAAATGACATTAGGAAATATTGTGGGAGAATGATCTCGTAATCACGAAACTTCTAAGTATCGGAGTGTGGTGTCGTCTTGACTTGCCTTATCTGTCTCATAGGTAGATGTGGCATCTTCTCTGGAAGTACTCTTCCTCCATCCAGGGGTGGTATCTTTAACTGGTGGAGATGCACAAGGTAATGTATCAATTTCACTTGAAGCTTACTTGTAGTTTCAGGCTTGGTCAAGCGCGATACAAACCATGTAGTAGGAGTCCCCCAAGTCGCCGAGCTAGGGGGTCTGCTGAAAGAGGTGACAGACAAGGTAAGCAATCAGAGCTCCGACTGATTGTTCACCTTCTCCCCATCTTGCAGCAGCATGAAGGATAAAGAGAAGAAAAATGAGAAGAGATGATATGAGATACTTTTGCTTTTGAAGAAGTAACTTTCCACAGGCTTATTCTTGAACTGAGCTGGAGGGTTTTCTGGTTTCCTCCAGAGTATATAAGGCCGACTGAAGAATTTGAGGGTCAAAACAAGTCCATCAAATCTAGAGTACGTTCCACCCTGCTGATATGTGATACTTTTGCTTTTGACAGAGTAATGGATGTATCGGCACGTGTGCTGTTACGCTTGTCTCCACATGCTTCCTTGTATCCTTCGCACTTGCCCTATCTGTTCCTCAAGCAGATGCGGAATCTTCCCTGGAAACATAAGATGATGAAGATGAGTACTCGAGAGCAATGCCAGGTAAGTAATCAGGTAAGGGGTTCCAGGCAGTCAGTTCCTGGCTGGAAGCTTGATTCCAAGTGCTGACTGATTACTCTCTTTCTCCTTGTCTTGCAGGTAAAAACAAGGCCAAAAGAAAAAACAGGGAAAAAGCATGATATGGGATACTCTTGCTTTTAACCCTGATGATATGAGATATTCTTGCTCTAGTATAGCTTGTTTGCAGAGGTATTATCGGGGGGAAAGAAAGCTGAATATTTCGAAAGGCTTTGTTGGGAGTGCCCTCTCAGATATGATGAAGGGTTGAGCATTTTTGCAGGTCTGCCTGTCCGTTGGGGATGGAGGTCGACATATATAGGAGTCTCCCTAACAACAAGTAGTAATGCTATTCCTTTACCCTGCTTGGTCATAGCACGGTAGTGGGAGCTGCCAGTTTCACATGTTTTAACTCTGTCAGAGCACTTTGAAAAAAGTGGTCTGTGGTATCTGGCTCTCGAGATTCGGAGAACGATGCCTCTTCGATTTTTGAGAAAGCAATCATGCTGGGGGTCTGACTCTCGAGATTCGGAGAGCAGTGTCTCTTCAATTTTTGAGGAAGTAATCATGTTGGGAGTCTGGCTCTCGAGATTCGGAAGGCGGTGCCTCTTCGATTTTGGAGCAAGCAATCTTGTTGGGAGTGTTGTCTCGAATGTGAGTAAAGGTTGGACATGTTTGCTAGTCTACCTTGCCACGAAGCACAAAGGTTGACACACAGGGACTTTCCAATTATCCAGCAATGGTACTGTTCCTTTACCCTCTCTTCGATTTTGAGAAAGTGAGAGTCATGTTGGGAGTCTGGCTCTCGAGATTCGGAGGACGGTGCCTCTTCGATTTTGGAGCAAACAATCTTGTTGGGACTGTTTTCTCGAATGTGAGTAAAGGTTGGGCATGTTTGCTAGTCTACCTTGCCACGAAGCACAGAGGTTGACACACAGGGACTTTCCAATTATCCAGCAGTGGTACTGTTCCTTTACCCTTGTGGGTAATAATATGGTAGCTAGACCTTCAAAATTTAAGTGATCTGTGGTACCCATGAGTTATTGTTGCGTGTGGGAAGTGGGTGATTGAACAGTAAGATTCATATGCTTTCTACTTCACCAGAAGTCTTCGACAGAATGCCCATAATTTCTACAAAGCTGAGTGTGCGTGTGACAGGTGCTGACAAGGCTAGAAAAGTAGATGCCTCTTCGATTTCTGAGATCGGCCCTCGTGGTCTCTGAGCAGCCCAGCTTTTGAGAAAGCGAGCGCCTCTTCGATTGATTCGGAGAACGGTGCCTCACCGATTTTTGAGAAAGCAATCATGCTGGGGGTCTGGCTCTCGAGATTCGGGGAGCAGTGTCTCTTCGATTTTTGTGAAAGTAATCATGTTGGGAGAGTGGCTCTCGAGATTCGGAGGGCGGTGCCTCTTCGATTTTGGAGCAAGCAATCTTGTTGGGAGTGTTTTCTCGAATGTGAGTAAAGGTTGGGCATGTTTGCTAGTCTACCTTGCCACGAAGCACAGAGGTTGACACACAGGGACTTTCCAATTATCCAGCAATGGTACTGTTCCTTTACCCTCTCTTCGATTTTTAAGAAAGTAGTCATGTTGGGAGTCTGGCTCTTTAGATTCGGAGGACGGTGCCTCTTCGATTTTGGAGCAAGCAATCTTATTGGGAGTGTTTTTCTCGAATGTGAGTAAAGGTTGGGCATGTTTGCTAGTCTACCTTGCCACGAAGCACAGAGGTTGACACACATGGACTTTCCAATTATCCAGCAGTGGTACTGTTCCTTTACCCTTGTGGGTAATAATATGGTAGCTAGACCTTCAAAATTTATGGGTCTAAACTTTGTTAGTGCTGTTTCTTTGCTATTCTTTTACCCTTCTTGGTCAGAGCGATGTAGTGGGAGCTGGAAGCTTCACGTGCTCAACTTTGGCAGAGAACTTTGGCAAAGTTATCTGTGGTACCCATGAGCTATTGTTGCGTGTGGGAAGTGGGTGATTGAACAGTAAGATTCATGTGTTTTTCTACTTCCCCAGAAGTCTTTGACAGAATGCCCATAATTTCCGCAAAGCTGAGTGTGCGTGTGACAGGTGCTGACAAGGCTGGAAAAGTAGGTGCCTCTTCGATTTCTGAGATCGGCCCTCGTGGTCTCTAGGGAGCCCAGCTTTTGAGAAAGCGAGCGCCTCTTCGATTTCTGAGATCGGCCTTCGTGGTCTTTGAGCAGCCCAACTTTTGAGAAAGCAAACGGCTCTTCGATTTCTGAGATCAACCCTCGTGATCTCTAAGCAGCCCAACTTTTGAGAAAGCAAACGCCTCTTCGATTTCTGAGCAGGCGCCTCTTTGATTTCTGAAGCTCCGTCGAGTGCAGATTTTTATAGAGGCTGGCATTAAGTTCCAAAGCACACTTGAATCTCCACCAGTAGAAGCTTCATTCTTGCACTTCTAAGATCTTGATTTGTCCGACCTCTTCTCTCTTCAACACCTTTGAAAATGTCTGGCCCCTCCGACCGTCGTTTTGACTTGAACCTTGTTGAAGAGGCAGCCCCGCCTTCTCCAGACAACATATGGCGCCCATCCTTCGTCTCCCCAACTGGTCCTCTTACCGTTGGGGATTCCGTGATGAAGAATGATATGACCGCTGCGGTGGTGGCCAGGAACCTTCTCACTCCCAAAGATAACAGACTACTTTCCAAACGGTCTGATGAGTTAGCTGTTAAGGATTCGCTGGCTCTCAGTGTTCAGTGTGCAGGTTCTGTGTCTAATATGGCCCAACGCCTATTTGCTCGAACCCGCCAAGTTGAATCATTGGCGGCTGAAGTGATGAGTCTCAAACAGGAGATTAGAGGGCTCAAGCATGAGAAATAAACAGTTGCACCGGCTCGCACATGACTATGCTACAAACATGAAGAGGAAGCTTGACCAGATGAAGGAAACTGATGGTCAGGTTTTACTTGATCATCATCAGAGATTTGTGGGTTTGTTCCAAAGGCATTTATTGCCTTCGTCTTCTGGGGCTGTACCGCGTAATGAAGCTCCAAATGATCAACCTCTGATGCCTCCTCCTTCTAGGGTTCTGTCCAGTACTGAGGCTCCAAATGATCCCCCTCCGGTGCCTTCTCTTTCTGGGGCTCTACCGACTGCTGAGACTTCTCCTAAGCAACCTTTGTGAAGGCTCCCTCTTGTGTGTTTATTTTGACTCATGTATATGTACATATTTGTAGCTTATCGGGGATATCAATAAATAAGCTTTCCTTCGTTTCAACGTATTGTGTTAAATACACACCAAAGCCTTCTTCGCTAAGTTCTTTGAATTTTCTTTTGTTGAAGCTTGTATGTTGAAGCTTTCTGAGTGGAGCATGTAGGTTGGGGTAGTGTTCCCTTAATTTCCCGAGTGAGGAAAACTTCTTGGTTGGAGACTTGGAAAATCCAAGTCACTGAGTGGGATCGGCTATATGAATCTTAGAACGCCATTGTGCTCGATCCTGTGTCATGTCCTTCGTTAGATCCAAGTACTCTAAGTCTTTTCTTAGAGTCTCTTCCAAAGTTTTCCTAGGTCTTCCTCTACCCCTTTGGCCCTGAACCTCTGTCCCATAGTCGCATCTTCTAATCGGAGCGTCAGTAGGCCTTCTTTGCACATGTCCAAACCACCGTAACCGATTTTCTCTCATCTTTCCTTCAATTTCGGCTACTCCTACTTTACCCCGGATATCCTCATTCCTAATCTTATCCTTTCTCGTGTGCCCACACATCCAACGAAGCATCCTCATCTCCGCTACACCCATTTTATGTACGTGTTGATGTTTCACCGCCCAACATTCTGTGCCATACAGCATCGCCGGCCTTATTGCCGTCCTATAAAATTTTCCCTTGAGTTTCAGTGGCATACGGCGGTCACACAACACGCCGGATGCACTCTTCCACTTCATCCATCCAGCTTGTATTCTATGGTTGAGATCTCCATCTAATTCTCCGTTCTTTTGCAAGATAGATCCTAGGTAACGAAAACGGTCGCTCTTTGGTATTTCTTGATCTCCGATCCTCACCCCTAACTCGTTTTGGCCTCCATTTGCACTGAACTTGCACTCCATATATTCTGTCTTTGATCGGCTTAGGCGAAGACCTTTAGATTCCAACACTTCTCTCCAAAGGTTAAGCTTTGCATTTACCCCTTCCTGAGTTTCATCTATCAACACTATATCGTCTGCGAAAAGCATACACCAAGGAATATCATCTTGAATATGTCCTGTTAACTCATCCATTACCAACGCAAAAAGGTAAGGACTTAAGGATGAGCCTTGATGTAATCCTACAGTTATGGGAAAGCTTTCGGTTTGTCCTTCATGAGTTCTTACGGCAGTCTTTGCTCCTTCATACATATCCTTTATAGCTTGGATATATGCTACTCGTACTCCTTTCTTCTCTAAAATCCTCCAAAGAATGTCTCTTGGGACCCTATCATACGCTTTTTCCAAATCTATAAAGACCTACTTCATACTAATGCTATGGACGTCAGCTTAGTAGATTTATTCTCTGGACAGAGTAACACAAAGGTTGAATACAAACAATTTCTTATTAAATTCAAGAGATCATTATGTGCTCACATCTTCACGATCAACCAAGCCTGCAATGTTGCCACCTTTAGCCCAGATGCTCTCCGCCATGCTAAGTACTTTTTTATTCACCCTCCATTTGGTACTTCCAGGCATATCTAGGGCCTGCACATGTCATCAAAAGTGAATATCATTATTACGATATGTACAAGAAAGTATATGTTGAAGGACTAGAATAGATCCATGGTTTGCCTCTATGCACAGGGAAAGCTCAGTTAACTGATGTTCCATTACAGATTATAACTACTATTGGTTGTACCCAGTATTCTCAATCAGAAAGGGGCAGTGACAGGAATGATGGTGCATCTCCCCATGTATTAACCAGATAACCGAGCAAAGGCTCTGGTTCTGACCTATTAATATTATACAAGGGAAACGTAGAATGGAACTCTAACTTCATGTACCTCGAATACTTTCATCATCTGCTTTCCAGAAATATTCCTCATTGCATCTACCTGCCTCCTTGATCCATGAGTACGCATGACATAAGAAGGTAGGAACAAGTGACCACCCTTGTCATACCTGCAAAGATTTAGATTTTATTGGCATCTGAGTGCATTCTTCTAATTTATTTGACATTTGATTAGCCAAAAGCCAACTTGAATAAGATTTCTTTTATTTGTTAACCTGCTGGTCAAGAAACAGAAAGAGAACTTGCTAAATGAATATACTTTATCATATCTCATACCCTTTCCACTTTCTGGGAGGCACCAACATTGGCACATAAGGAATCAACATATGTTTAGCCTGTAAAGAAACAAAGCATAAAATAACTGTAAGTAGCAGGAGTGTCCAAATATGAAAATGTAGCTAGGCGTATACAATTATATTATACATTAACTTGATGGGGAATAATTGATAAGTATTGTTTTTTAATTATAAATCAATAACTTGAATTCGCAGTGCAAACTGAATTCAAGTGTACAGAACAAGAAAACACAACAACAACAACAACAACAACAACAAAGCCTTTTCCCACTAAGTGGGGTCGGCTATATGAATCCTAGAACGCCATTGCGCTCGGTTTTGTGTCATGTCCTCCGTTAGATCCAAGTACTCTAAGTCTTTTCTTAGAGTCTCTTCCAAAGTTTTCCTAGGTCTTCCTCTACCCCTTCGGCCCTGAACCTCTGTCCCGTAGTCACATCTTCGAACCGGAGCGTCAGTCGGCCTTCTTTGCACATGTCCAAATCACCAGAGCCGATTTTCTCTCATCTTTCCTACAATTTCGGCTACTCCTACTGTACCTCGGATATCCTCATTCTCAATCTTATCCTTTCTCGTGTGCCCACACATCCCACGAAGCATCCTCATCTCCGCTACACCCATTTTGTGTAGTGTTGATGCTTCACCACCCAACATTCTCTGCCATACAACATCGCTGGCCTTATTGCCGTCCTATAAAATTTTCCCTTGAGCTTCAGTGGCCTACGACGGTCACACAACACGCCGGATGCACTCTTTCCATCCAGCTCGTATTCTATGGTTGAGATCTCCATCTAATTCTCCGTTCTCTTGCAAGATAGATCATAGGTAACGAAAACGGTCGCTTTTTGTGATCTTCGCTAGATTGCTCCGGTCATTAGTGTGGATAAGTATATAAATGGATAGAGATAGGAAAGCAAACACAAGATGTACGTGGTTCACCCAGATTGGCTACGTCCACGGAATAGAAGAGTTCTCATTAATTGTGAAGGGTTTACACAAGTACATAGGTTCAAGCTCTCCTTTAGTGAGTACGAGTGAATGATTTAGTACAAATGACATTAGGAAATATTGTGGGAGAATGATCTCGTAATCACGAAACTTCTAAGTATCGGAGTGTGGTGTCGTCTTGACTTGCCTTATCTGTCTCATAGGTAGATGTGGCATCTTCTCTGGAAGTACTCTTCCTCCATCCAGGGGTGGTATCTTTAACTGGTGGAGATGCACAAGGTAATGTATCAATTTCACTTGAAGCTTACTTGTAGTTTCAGGCTTGGTCAAGCGCGATACAAACCATGTAGTAGGAGTCCCCCAAGTCGCCGAGCTAGGGGGTCTGCTGAAAGAGGTGACAGACAAGGTAAGCAATCAGAGCTCCGACTGATTGTTCACCTTCTCCCCATCTTGCAGCAGCATGAAGGATAAAGAGAAGAAAAATGAGAAGAGATGATATGAGATACTTTTGCTTTTGAAGAAGTAACTTTCCACAGGCTTATTCTTGAACTGAGCTGGAGGGTTTTCTGGTTTCCTCCAGAGTATAAGGCCGACTGAAGAATTTGAGGGTCAAAACAAGTCCATCAAATCTAGAGTACGTTCCACCCTGCTGATATGGGATACTTTTGCTTTTGACAGAGTAATGGATGTATCGGCACGTGTGCTGTTACGCTTGTCTCCACATGCTTCCTTGTATCCTTCGCACTTGCCCTATCTGTTCCTCAAGCAGATGCGGAATCTTCCCTGGAAACATAAGATGTTGAAGATGAGTACTCGAGAGCAATGCCAGGTAAGTAATCAGGTAAGGGGTTCCAGGCAGTCAGTTCCTGGCTGGAAGCTTGATTCCAAGTGCTGACTGATTGCTCTCTTTCTCCTTGTCTTGCAGGTAAAAAACAAGGCCAAAAGAAAAAACAGGGAAAAAGCATGATATGGGATACTCTTGCTTTTAACCCTGATGATATGAGATATTCTTGCTCTAGTATAGCTTGTTTGCAGAGGTATTATCGGGGGGAAAGAAAGCTGAATATTTCGAAAGGCTTTCGTTGGGAGTGCCCTCTCAGATATGATGAAGGGTTGAGCATTTTTGCAGGTCTGCCTGTCCGTTGGGGATGGAGGTCGACATATATAGGAGTCTCCCTAACAACAAGTAGTAATGCTATTCCTTTACCCTGCTTGGTCATAGCACGGTAGTGGGAGCTGCCAGTTTCACATGTTTTAACTCTGTCAGAGCACTTTGAAAAAGTGGTCTGTGGTATCTGGCTCTCGAGATTCGGAGAACGATGCCTCTTCGATTTTTGAGAAAGCAATCATGTTGGGGGTCTGACTCTCGAGATTCGGAGAGCAGTGTCTCTTCGATTTTTGAGGAAGTAATCATGTTGGGAGTCTGGCTCTCGAGATTCGGAGGGCGGTGCCTCTTCGATTTTGGAGCAAGCAATCTTGTTGGGAGTGTTGTCTCGAATGTGAGTAAAGGTTGGGACATGTTTGCTAGTCTACCTTGCCACGAAGCACAAAGGTTGACACACAGGGACTTTCCAATTATCCAGCAATGGTACTGTTCCTTTACCCTCTCTTCGATTTTGAGAAAGTAGTCATGTTGGGAGTCTGGCTCTCGAGATTCGGAGGACGGTGCCTCTTCGATTTTGGAGCAAGCAATCTTGTTGGGAGTGTTTTCTCGAATGTGAGTAAAGGTTGGGCATGTTTGCTAGTCTACCTTGCCACGAAGCACAGAGGTTGACACACAGGGACTTTCCAATTATCCAGCAGTGGTACTGTTCCTTTACCCTTGTGGGTAATAATATGGTAGCTAGACCTTCAAAATTTATGTGTCTAAACTTTGTTAGTGCTGTTTCTTTGCTATTCTTTTACCTTTCTTGGTCAGAGCGATGTAGTGGGAGCTGCAAGCTTCACGTGCTCAACTTTGGCAGAGAACTTTGGCAAAGTTATCTGTGGTACCCATGAGCTATTGTTGCGTGTGGGAAGTGGGTGATTGAACAGTAAGATTCATGTGCTTTCTACTTCACCAGAAGTCTTCGACAGAATGCCCATAATTTCTGCAAAGCTGAGTGTGCGTGTGACAGGTGCTGACAAGGCTAGAAAAGTAGGTGCCTCTTCGATTTCTGAGATCGGCCCTCGTGGTCTCTGAGCAGCCCAGCTTTTGAGAAAGCGAGCGCCTCTTCGATTGATTCGGAGAACGATGCCTCATCGATTTTTGAGAAAGCAATCATGCTGGGGGTCTGGCTCTCGAGATTCGGGGAGCAGTGTCTCTTCGATTTTTGAGAAAGTAATCATGTTGGGAGAGTCTGGCTCTCGAGATTCGGAGGGCGGTGCCTCTTCGATTTTGGAGCAAGCAATCTTGTTGGGAGTGTTTTTCTCGAATGTGAGTAAAGGTTGGGCATGTTTGCTAGTCTACCTTGCCACGAAGCACAGAGGTTGACACACAGGGACTTTCCAATTATCCAGCAATGGTACTGTTCCTTTACCCCTCTCTTCGATTTTTAAGAAAGTAGTCATGTTGGGAGTCTGGCTCTTTCGAGATTCGGAGGACGGTGCCTCTTCGATTTTGGAGCAAGCAATCTTATTGGGAGTGTTTTCTCGAATGTGAGTAAAGGTTGGGCATGTTTGCTAGTCTACCTTGCCACGAAGCACAGAGGTTGACACACAGGGACTTTCCAATTATCCAGCAGTGGTACTGTTCCTTTACCCTTGTGGGTAATAATATGGTAGCTAGACCTTCAAAATTTATGGGTCTAAACTTTGTTAGTGCTGTTTCTTTGCTATTCTTTTACCCTTCTTGGTCAGAGCGATGTAGTGGGAGCTGCAAGCTTCACGTGCTCAACTTTGGCAGAGAACTTTGGCAAAGTTATCTGTGGTACCCATGAGCTATTGTTGCGTGTGGGAAGTGGGTGATTGAACAGTAAGATTCATGTGTTTTTCTACTTCCCCAGAAGTCTTTGACAGAATGCCCATAATTTCCGCAAAGCTGAGTGTGCGTGTGACAGGTGCTGACAAGGCTGGAAAAGTAGGTGCCTCTTCGATTTCTGAGATCGGCCCTCGTGGTCTCTAAGGAGCCCAGCTTTTGAGAAAGCGAGCGCCTCTTCGATTTCTGAGATCGGCCTTCGTGGTCTTTGAGCAGCCCAACTTTTGAGAAAGCAAACGCCTCTTCGATTTCTGAGATCAACCCTCGTGATCTCTAAGCAGCCCAGCTTTTGAGAAAGCAAACGCCTCTTCGATTTCTGAGCAGGCGCCTCTTTGATTTCTGAAGCTCCGTCGAGTGCAGATTTTTATAGGGGCTGGCATTAAGTTCCAAAGCACACTTGAATCTCCACCAGTAGAAGCTTCATTCTTGCACTTCTAAGATCTTGATTTGTCCGACCTCTTCTCTCTTCAACACCTTTGAAAATGTCTGGCCCCTCCGACCGTCGTTTTGACTTGAACCTTGTTGAAGAGGCAGCCCCGCCTTCTCCAGACAACATATGGCGCCCATCCTTCGTCTCCCCAACTGGTCCTCTTACCGTTGGGGATTCCGTGATGAAGAATGATATGACCGCTGCGGTGGTGGCCAGGAACCTTCTCACTCCCAAAGATAACAGACTACTTTCCAAACGGTCTGATGAGTTAGCTGTTAAGGATTCGCTGGCTCTCAGTGTTCAGTGTGCAGGTTCTGTGTCTAATATGGCCACAACGCCTATTTGCTCGAACCCGCCAAGTTGAATCATTGGCGGCTGAAGTGATGAGTCTCAAACAGGAGATTAGAGGGCTCAAGCATGAGAATAAACAGTTGCACCGGCTCGCACATGACTATGCTACAAACATGAAGAGGAAGCTTGACCAGATGAAGGAAACTGATGGTCAGGTTTTACTTGATCATCAGAGATTTGTGGGTTTGTTCCAAAGGCATTTATTGCCTTCGTCTTCTGGGGCTGTACCGCGTAATGAAGCTCCAAAATGATCAACCTCTGATGCCTCCTCCTTCTAGGGTTCTGTCCAGTACTGAGGCTCCAAATGATCCCCCTCCGGTGCCTTCTCTTTCTGGGGCTCTACCGACTGCTGAGACTTCTCCTAAGCAACCTTTGTGAAGGCTCCCTCTTGTGTGTTTATTTTGACTCATGTATATGTACATATTTGTAGCTTATCGGGGATATCAATAAATAAGCTTTCCTTCATTTCAACGTATTGTGTTAAATACACCAAAGCCTTCTTCGCTAAGTTCTTTGAATTTTCTTTTGTTGAAGCTTGTATGTTGAAGCTTTCTGAGTGGAGCATGTAGGTTGGGGTAGTGTTCCCTTAATTTTTTCCGAGTGAGGAAAACTTCTTGGTTGGAGACTTGGAAAATCCAAGTCACTGAGTGGGATCGGCTATATGAATCTTAGAACGCCATTGTGCTCGATCCTGTGTCATGTCCTTCGTTAGATCCAAGTACTCTAAGTCTTTTCTTAGAGTCTCTTCCAAAGTTTTCCTAGGTCTTCCTCTACCCCTTCGGCCCTGAACCTCTGTCCCATAGTCGCATCTTCTAATCGGAGCGTCAGTAGGCCTTCTTTGCACATGTCCAAACCACCGTAACCGATTTTCTCTCATCTTTCCTTCAATTTCGGCTACTCCTACTTTACCCCGGATATCCTCATTCCTAATCTTATCCTTTCTCGTGTGCCCACACATCCAACGAAGCATCCTCATCTCCGCTACACCCATTTTGTGTACGTGTTGATGTTTCACCGCCCAACATTCTGTGCCATACAGCATCGCCGGCCTTATTGCCGTCCTATAAAATTTTCCCTTGAGCTTCAGTGGCATACGGCGGATCACACAACACGCCGGATGCACTCTTCCACTTCATCCATCCAGCTTGTATTCTATGGTTGAGATCTCCATCTAATTCTCCGTTCTTTTGCAAGATAGATCCTAGGTAACGAAAACGGTCGCTCTTTGGTATTTCTTGATCTCCGATCCTCACCCCTAACTCGTTTTGGCCTCCATTTGCACTGAACTTGCACTCCATATATTCTGTCTTTGATCGGCTTAGGCGAAGACCTTTAGATTCCAACACTTCTCTCCAAAGGTTAAGCTTTGCATTTACCCCTTCCTGAGTTTCATCTATCAACACTATATCGTCTGCGAAAAGCATACACCAAGGAATATCATCTTGAATATGTCCTGTTAACTCATCCATTACCAACGCAAAAAGGTAAGGACTTAAGGATGAGCCTTGATGTAATCCTACAGTTATGGGAAAGCTTTCGGTTTGTCCTTCATGAGTTCTTACGGCGGTCTTTGCTCCTTCATACATATCCTTTATAGCTTGGATATATGCTACTCGTACTCCTTTCTTCTCTAAAATCCTCCAAAGAATGTCTCTTGGGACCCTATCATACGCTTTTTCCAAATCTATAAAGATCATGTGTAAATCCTTTTTTCCCATCTCTATATCTTTCCATCAATCTTCGTAAGAGATAGATTGCCTCCATGGTTGAGCGCCCTGGCATGAACCCGAATTGGTTGTCCGAAACCCGTGTCTCTTGCCTCAATCTATGCTCAATGACTCTCTCCCAGAGCTTCATTGTATGACTCATTAGCTTAATACCCCTATAGTTCATGCAATTTTGTACGTCGCCCTTATTCTTGTAGATAGGCACCAAAGTGCTCGTTCGCCACTCATTTGGCATCTTCTTCGTTTTCAAAATCCTATTGAAAAGGTCAGTGAGCCATGTTATACCTGTCTCTCCCAAAACTTTCCACACTTCGATTGGTATATCGTCTGGGCCTATTGCTTTTCTATGCTTCATCTTCTTCAAAGCTACAACCACTTCTTCCTTCCGGATTCGACGATAAAAGGAGTAGTTTCTACATCTATATCGGCTGCAACATCACATTACATAAAAAACCAAAAATTAAATACATATATAAATAAATTTGGGCACCAATAATATATTATATAATTAAAAATATACAAAAGGATTCCTCAGCCATAATGAAATAATACAAAATGCTCAAAGCAACAAACCTTAGGCTGTGTATCACGACCCCAGGGCTTAATTTCTTCTTTTAGCAAGAGATTTTGGACCTCCCTCAGTCTTTTCCTTTTAATTAAAACATTAACATGTTTCCGGAGTATCTCCTTCTCCTTGCTCAGACTGTCTTCATCAACAACAACAGTCTTCTTTCTCTAGAAGTTTTTGGTTTTCTCCAACAAACTGTGAATCCTAACCTGAATTGTAAGGTAACAATATATGATATTTAAACTTTAATTCAGTGATACTGCTGATACGGAGTACAAACAAGGAAGTATTAATGATAAGCTTAAATTGCATCAAAATAACACCAAATATATAAAATAAAAACAAAATAATTCAAATTACTCCCACTTCTTGGCCTTCCAATTTTATCATTCTTGAAAGCGTCACAGAACTAGGAAGTTGATCGTAATTTTCTTCACTGTGAAATCCAAAATGAAAGGACTCCTTGAATAGCAGTAAAAAACAAAATTAAGCCAAAATTAAGCCTTTTGTACCATCCTCTGAAATCTGCAATGTTTCCCTTTTCCCTCAATCGAAGTTCTTAAATTACAATTCTAAATAAAACAGCTGAGCAGAATGGTTTTCTTTGAAGAATAAATCAATAAATGAGCTAATCAGAATGATTAACGCTCGAAACTCGTTCATTTCATGGGTGTAATATCCTAAAATTCTAAACCTTTAGCTTTTATAATGCACATCATCTCGCATTAAGTTACAGTGTATTCGTAAACCAATACACATCGAATCATCATTGACAATGTGAAACACAAACACAAAAGATTAAGAATTTAGAACTCACCTCCTGCTCTATGGCCATCCCGATATGAACAGCAGCTTGAACAACCTGCACACACCCGTCTTGATTCCCCACCATAACCAAACCCATGATATTATACATAACAATCAGCGCCATCTTATCCGGCGGCAGCAAGTCAATGTGCGGCGCAAACGCCGCTTTGTGCTTCTTCGTTTGCTGCACCTTCTGCTCCCTCGCAATCGCCTCCCTCAGCGGCTCAAACCACCCTAAAAACAAGGCCTTCACGTACGGCAAGCTCGGAGCCAGCTTCTTCTCCCGCATTACTCGTTCCAAATCCTTGTACTCCTCCACCATTCTCTCCCACGCCTCCGTCTCCGCCTTTATCTGCCACCGCCGGAGCAAATTTTACTTCCCCCGCCGATTTCCTTCGACTCCAATTTCAACTCCTGGTTGGCCTTTTTGTACATTCCCTTCAGAAACAGCGCGGCAATCCACGGCGGGTCTTGGATAAAAATCCGCGGCGGTGAGTCCTGCGGCGTAATCAGGTGAAATTCTCTGATAGGTAACTGTAAATTCATCGAATTTTCTACGAAATTGTCTTGGACGGAGTCTCGGACAAGGTGGGTGTGAACGAGGTCGGAAGGGGGCTTGAGGCTGAGGGGGAAAGGAGTGGAGGAAGACAGTGATGGCTTGAAGAAGAGGAGGTTGGAGGCTGAGCTGAAGAGGAACTTGTGGCTGAGCTTCGACGGCTTCGGCCATGTGGAACTGTACGTTTGAGCTTGCGGACTCGGAGAGAAGGAGGCTGTGGAAGCCATTTTTGAGAGAGAGAGACGCAGCTCGAGAAGAAGATGAAACCTCTCTTAAACCTTTCGGTTGTCCATTTTCGAAATATTTTACCCAACCGAAAAAACAGTACGTTAATATTTTTGGTGGCCAAAAAAAAAAAAAAAGGCCGCCCTCTAGGTCTAGAAGCCCAAAAGGCCTACACGCCACTACATTTGAAAGCATAAAAAGGTCCACATTCCACACATGCGGGCCGCGGCCCAGCCGTGAGGAGAGAGGAGAGATATTTTTACCTTTGTTTTTTTAGTAGACTTTGTAGTAGTCATAAATTTTGTAGTAGTAATATGATTGAAGTGATTGACATTTACCCATCCCACGCTTTTTGAAGAATGCTATGTTACTAACATGTTTACTTCCATTGTAGGTAATGTGTTTGAGTTCAAGGCCCTGCGCGCTCTACGTTTGGTGGATTTGCAAATTCCTCCGGCTTATGTTAAAACTTTCCAAGGTCCGCCTTATCGTATCCTGCTTGAGAGAGAGAAATTGAACGAGTATGGCCGCCATTGTTTCCAATTTCATTTGATTGAAAAAATTAAAAGTGCTTCCAAACAATCAACACTTGAGTTTCTAATCACAATTTCAACTCGTGTGTTTTTCATATTTCATTATTACAATTTCTTCCACACTACCAGGTCAGTGTGAAAACATGATAATGTTCGTTATCATTTGAGTTACAAGCAAGCGCTTTGCATTCTAATTACATAGTTTTTAACAAAAACAATTATAAGTAGAAGTGTTTTAGACAAAAATGTCTCAAACCAGCCACTGGTTAAATAATCTTAAGGTTAACTACACTAACACTCCTTGAAATTATTGTGTTTTCACAAAGCGACATTATATATTTTCACTATTTGGGACCAATTTATCCTGAAATCCCTCGCTATTGGATGCCGTGTAACAAAAGAAACAGCAAATTCGTATAAATTGATGAAATTTCCCTCCGCAACCTGACTTTTGGTTATCAACTCCGCCGTCGCCGTCGTCATATCCTCCCCGCCGTCGCTGACTATCAGGTCAGGTTCTCATAAAAGTTCATTTTCTCTTGACTTCTGTAATTAGTCTCCTTCTCCTCCTCTAGTTTCTGATTGGGTTTTCTTATGGAGTTTGTGAAGCAGATAAAACTGTTGTTACTTTTTCCTTAAAGCAGATTAGTTCTAGTTTTTCCATGATTTAATGATTACCCTACTTAACCATCTGACGTACGACATGCTGATTAGTACCGAGTCCTACAAATACTAGTTGAGTAATTAACGTCTTAATCATATCTGGCTTTGTCCAAAACCAGACCTAACTCCATTAGCAAACCTGTGTACCAAGCTCCGACACAGATTTGATAATCGTTCCTACTCTCCGATCAGGTAAAGTTTGAAACTTGGGGTACTTGAGTTACAAGGTTGTCTAAAACTCCATGCTACAAATGCTTAAAAGAATGTCTTTGATCACACACATCAGTTGGTCTAGTTAGCGGCGCTCTGCCGGTCTTCACTTGGTTTAAAATACAAGGTTCGACTCACATGGATGCAAGGACGATAGATACATCGAGTTCCATATTAACTTATGGCTTATTGTGGTTGTTATGCGTTCGAGAATTCTATAAATACATATTTTTTTAATATATTTTGGCAAAAGAAGAGACTATCTTGAAAAATATACATAGATAGAACTGTTTATAAATTTTCAACAAAAATAAGATTTTTTTCTTCACTAAAATGTGTTTTATTGTCTGTTTAGTGCCGTTTTAGTGAAAAAGTTGTAGTTTTTATTCAAGATTAAACTTCTATCTATGTATTAACCTTTTGATACCATTCAGTTAAGCGAGAAATATGCCTAAACAAGCAATCAAGCGACGCTAAATTGGAGAAATTTTTTATTGTGACAGGAACACAAGTAGTACACCACGTGTTTTTATGTAAGTGGTGAAAATTTTTATTTTTTAAGTTATTAACATTTTAACACACATATCCCACCATTTGTGTTGTGTAGTGACACGTGGTGTATCCCGTGTTTCGATCACACTGAAAAATCTCTTGCTAAACTGTAGTTTATATGCGGCTTCTTGTTCGTTTAGTCTTGTCTCTTAGGTGATCATGCTGTATATCTCTTTTGTGCTACGAATACCAATTGAGGCATACTGTTTAAATGCATCACCTAAATACCTACTCACCGATCACCTTCTTTATTAACCAATATTATCTCTCTCTTTCGCCTCACAGCACACAATCCACTAATCTCTCTATCCTCACATCTCTGAAGCAACAACATAATATATAATTAAGTAGACAATTACCTGACGAGATTAAGCATAAAATAAAATGGTTAGGCCTGCTGATGCTGCTGACATGGACTGCATTACTGCTCTAACCGCGGCTTTAGCGTTGTTTGCTTGTCATGTTACACGCACGCATTTGTATGAACGCGATTGGTGGGTTAGGAAGTCAAAGATCGTAGGCGCCAAACGTACATCCATGCCTTCAACGGCAGTTAGGCACAAGGTGTTTCATAATTTTCTAAGCATTTGATGAGTGCTTACTTATTGGCCACAAGATTTTGCATTATCTTGTTCTTAAGCTCATGCAGCCTGTGCATGCTTCTCTTGATTTGCTCTCTCGGTACTTTCTGATCACTTTGTTTTCGTCAATTTCTTCGAAACTTTTTGCTCGAAGAAGATTGACATGATCATGATGTGTTTTGGAAGGTCTTCTGTGTTTAAGCTTCTCTGTTTGATCATTTTGTTGGAAGCGGTTTTATGCCAAGAAACTGCTCAAATAATGAAGGACAAGGCATCCTTGCTTTCTTTCAGAGAAGGGATTGTATCGGACCCCCACCGGGCTTTAGAGGACTGGAATTCCTTGGGTGTTCATCTTTGTAATTGGTCAGGCATCAAGTGTAACAAAGCTAGAGACCGCGTCGTGGAGCTTGATCTTAGTGGAAAGGCACTCGGAGGCACCATTTCCCCGTCTCTCGCTAATCTTTCTTCCTTACACATTCTTGATCTATCAAGTAATTTTTTCAAAGGTCGCATTCCAGGCGAGTTAGGCACTCTTTCTCAACTTGGAGAACTCAGCTTATCTTCCAATCTTCTAGAGGGAAGCATCGCTGCTGAACTTGGTTTTCTTCGCAAATTAGTGTATCTCGATTTGGGAAGCAACCGGCTCACTGGTGAAATCCCAATGCCGCTTTTCTGCAATCATTCTTCGTCTTCTCTGCAGTACTTAGACCTCTCTAACAATTCTTTAAGCGGTGAAATTCCTTTGCCAGATGAATGTGAGCTTATACACCTGAGGTTTCTTCTACTGTGGTCCAACCGTCTAGTTGGACTTGTTCCTGCAGCCATTTCAAACTCCTCAAAACTTAAATGGCTCGATTTAGAGTCTAACATGCTGAAAGGGGAGTTGCCATCGGAGATTATACGAAAAATGCCACAACTGCAGTACCTCTACTTGTCCTACAATCGCTTTGTGAGCCATGACGGTAACACTAACCTTGAACCCTTTTTTGCCTCTTTGGTTAATGCCTCTAACTTTCAAGAGCTTGAATTAGCTGGAAACAATCTTGGAGGAGATTTACCTCCTATTATTGGTAATCTTTCTACCAATCTTGTACAACTTCACTTAGATACTAATCGTATTTACGGTTCAATTCCCCCTCATATTTCAAATCTTGTCAACCTCACCCTGTTGAATTTGTCTAGTAACCTTCTGAATGGAACCATCCCACCCAAACTGTGCCAAATGACAAAGCTAGAGAGGGTGTTTTTCTCAAACAATTCACTGTCTGGTGAGATTCCATCTGCCTTTGGTGACATTCCCCATCTAGGCCTTCTAGATTTATCCAAAAACAAGCTTTCCGGTTCCATTCCAGATAGTTTTTCAAACCTTTCCCAGTTAAGAAGGCTCTTTCTTTATGAGAACCAACTCACAGGGACCATACCGCCAAGTCTAGGAAAGTGCATCAATTTAGAGATTCTAGACCTTTCTCAGAACCAAATTTCAGGGGTGATTCCTAGCGAAGTTGCAGGGCTGAGGAGCTTGAAGTTGTACTTGAACCTGTCTAGCAATCACTTGCATGGACTGTTACCGATGGAGTTGAGCAAAATGGACATGGTGCTAGCAGTTGACCTATCTTCCAACAATCTTTCCGGCACAATACCATCACAACTTGGGAGCTGCATTGCCCTCGAGTACCTCAACCTTTCGGTGAATTCCTTAGAAGGCCCTCTTCCGGATTCAATAGGAAAGCTACCTTATCTTCAAATACTTGACGTATCCTCAAACCAACTGAATGGACAAATACCAGTGTCTCTGCAGGAATCATTAACTCTGAAGAAACTCAACTTCTCTTTCAACAACTTATCCGGGAATGTATCAAACAATGGGGCCTTTTCTTTGCTGACCATAGACTCATTCCTGGGTAATGCTGGTCTCTGTGGATCAATAAAGGGCATGTCAAACTGCCGGAAGAAGCATACTCATCATTTGGCTATTCTGCCAATTATCCTGTCATTACTTATCACCCCCATATTTTGTGTATTCGGGTACCCCCTCATGCATGGGTCGAAATTCCAAAAACACTTAGCAGTTTTCAATCAAGAGGATTCGGGGGATGATGAAAAAGAAGGGAAGAAAGAACACAAGTGTCCGAAAATCTCATACGAGCAGCTCATTGAAGCCACGGGTGGTTTCAGTGCTTCCAGCCTGATTGGTTCAGGTGGGTTTGGGCATGTCTATAAGGGTGTCCTTCAAGACAACTCAGTAATTGCTGTCAAGGTATTGGATTTGAAAACGGATGGAGATAATTTGGGAACCTTCAAAAGGGAATGCAGAGTTCTGAAGAGGACTAGGCACAGAAATTTGATCAGAATCATCACGGCGTGCAGTAGGCCGGACTTTAAGGCTCTTGTTCTGCCATTGATGTCAAATGGGAGCCTCGAGAGTCACCTATACCCGAGCCATGGGCTGAAGGATCAGTTGAATTTGATTCAGTTGGTGAGCATCTGCAGTGATGTAGCTGAAGGAGTGGCCTATTTACA